GTGTGTGTGTGTGTAACCCTTGGAATCAAAGGGAACCTTAAGGTTTGGAACAGGGGGCTGGAGTGTGCTTGAGATGTTTCCAGCCAACGAAGACGCATCTGTCGCACAGTGACATAGTTCTGGGACGCCAGAACTACGTACCTGTTCCACTATTTAGGAAAACAGGAGGAAATGGTACTCGACACACTTGTGTGTCGGTGCCTTTCCTTCTGTTTCCTCTAAGGCTACTCTACAGGTTTACAGGTAGGCCTCCAAACTTTGTAAGGGGTTCTTTAACTAGAACTTTGGCCTCTACCCACTAGATTGACCCCCAACTCGCTGTTTTGCTGTCTTGTGCTTCTTGTACTTTTGTGCTTCTTGTAACCTTGTAGCACTGGCCTCCAACTTGGTACCCTGGCCTCTACCCACTAGCAAGGACCTCCAACTTTGGCTGTCTTGTGGTTTTTCTTGTGCTTTGTAACCTGGTAGCGCTCCCCCAACTTGGTACCCTGGCCTCCAACCTACTAGCGATGACCTCCAACTTTGCTTTCGCTGTCACTGTGTGTCTATGGTCCACCGCCTACTAGCGATGGCCTCCAACCTTAGGCCTTGGCCCCAACAGCCTCGCGTTGACCTCCAACCAAAACCGTTGGCCTTTAACCGACTATTTGCTGTCACTTTGCGTCTATGGTCCACCGCCTACTAGCGATGGCCTCCAACCTTAGGTCTTGGCCCCAACAGCCTCGCGTTGACCTCCAACCCAAACCGTTGGCCTTTAACCTACTATTTCCTGGTATCTCAGGCCTTATAACGAACCTAGGCCGGCGTGTGGCCCCGCTGTCAAGTCAGTACGCGTATCCATAAGTGTGTGTCGACCCCCATATCCAGGGGCATTACATTTGTCAGACTTCTTTTTACATTGTACAGTATACGCGCAGGGGGACCACCCCATGGATGCAGTCGGTTGTCCAACGAAGAGGGCTGCATTCCGTGGCTGATATGATCCTGGGACGCTAGGATCACGTACCTGCCAATTTTCCTTTCAGCATTTGTGATTCTAAGTGTCGCTCAATGCTGTCTCATTCGGTGTTTTGCAGTGAAGTGCTAATGCTTTCAGCTAACGCAGTAGCTTTTGTGACTCTAAGTGTTGCTCAACGCTGGCTCATTCGGTGTGTTGCAGTAAAGGGCTATTTTTCAGCTAATGCAGTAACGTAAAGGGCTAATGTTCACCATGCGTCTCTGAAGCACAGCTCCGCGGAGCACTCATCTTAAGAGCTGTGTGAACCCCACGAGGGCGCCGTTATTGAGTCTCCTATTCCTTTATTGGAGAGAATGCACTTTACAGCCCATTGAGGACCTCAAACAACCGATGCAGACATCTTTTGCTCGAATGCGAAAAGTCGTTTCACCTTCGCATCTATGATTTTTTGTTGCAGAGCTCACTGATCCTTGACATCTGAACTCGTCTCACACCAGGAAACTTTGACGTGTTAACTTTTCAACCTTTCTATTTTTCAATCCGAATTCATTGTTTTCCGGGTTACCAGCACTAGCGACAACACCACTACTGGCAGCAATACCCACCTCCGCCTCCACCACATTCACCACCACCTTTCTCCCACTGGCAACCAATGCCACATCCACCACCATAACCATTACCAATGCTTATACCATGTACTACACCCATTACAGTTACAAAGCCTCTGGTCACCCCACCACCTTCATTCACCGCCAACCCATTCTCCTTCCTTTCCACCGGGGCACACTTCAACGTCCGCAACACTTACACATCCCACATCAACCGGATCCAACCTAACCAGCAACATCACCCGCCACCATTTCACGACTCACAAGTCCCCCACAACCACATCACCCTACTACAGGCTCCTCACCGCCCACTACCCCAGCCAGTTACACTTCTCCACACGAACCACCCACAGCAACGACACCTCATCCTTCCACATCTCCTCAACCACCCCTACAACCACCGCCTACTACAGCACCACAACCCATTGCACCGCAGCCTCACACAACTACGACTCCAACTTTTGACAACAATCCTCCCCAAGCACCCTCACGACTCGACCAAGTCCCTTCACGGCCAAGCAGCAAGACTCCCATCATGACGTGCCATCACATGACTTGCATCGTTTGCATGACTTGAGTTGCTTCTTGTGCCTGGCATGACTAGAGTTGAGCTATTTCTTGAGATTGGGTGATCTTCCTTGGACCTCGTCAGACCGATGCGAAAGTTCACACACCAGCTGTTCAATCACGGTGATGCCCTTCCAGCTTTTCCGGCCGGTTCTCAAGTTTGCGGAATGTAGACTGGTTGAGAATCTGAACCAGTCTACATTCCGCAAACACTGTCGTCTCCCACTGCCAAAAACCCTCTTGGGCGCCAAACACGAGGGCTTGGTGCCTCACACCCCCGGGCCGCGAGATGGCAGCTGCGCAATGTACACATTTTGTTTCCATTCGACATAACCAGAGCTCACCTTCGGCCACCTGTCCACTTTCTCAGCCAACGTAAACCATCCAGTAAGAGACCTGCGAACAGCTGAGATGAGCATGATTGTTGCATGATTTGGGATTCAGCAAGAGCAGTTGTTGCATGCTTATCCATGTGGTCTTGACACTGCGGTCCTAGTATCAAGCCACACCTAAATATATTTGTGCGCCGCATTCGGCACCTTTGCTCAGAAGTCACTACACCTATTTTTCTCTTTTCCCTCTTTCCTTTTTTCTTTTCTACAGGCTTGTTAGGTTGCTATTCAGGACACACACCCAATTTGCCATTCGTTGGCAGTTTTGCTCGCCAAGTCATTACCTCTAATTTGCCAATCGGTTAACACTTTTTGCTCGACAGATGTGCACGATACTACACCTATCTTTCTCTTCTTCCCTCTTCTTTTGCTTTTTCTCCTTTTCTTTCTTTTTCTTAAGGCTTGTTGGGTTGCTAGTGAGATCTTTGATGCATTCCCTAATTTGCCATACAGTTGGCACCTTTCGCTCGGCAAGTCGCTACCTCTTTGCTAGCGAGGTATTCGATGCACTCCCTAATTTGCCATTCAGTTGGCACCTTTTGCTCGGCAGGTCACTACCTCCAATTTGCCATTCAGTTGGGGCGTCTTGATCGACAGATGTGCGTGTCACTGCACCTATCTTCCTCTCTTGCCCTTTTCTGTTGCTCTTTCTTTCTCTTTTTTAATTCTTTTTCTATAGACTTGATGGGTATCGACGCACTTATAATTTGCCATTCGGATGGCGCCTTTTGCTCGGCAGATGTTACAGTATCTACAATACTTACAGCGTCCCTTGGCGTGTTGTACGGGCGCGCCCTATACTCCGGTGCCGCTGGAGTCCTCGGTTAACGCCAGGAGGAAGGCAGTCCGGAGTAGGGATTTGCGTAGCCGGCCCACCGCCAGGGGGGCACGAGCCATAACAGCCAGACACATCTGTGGCTGTTCACAGTTCAAGTTCTCAAACAAGTTCTCAAACAAGCCAGCCAACGCAACGACCAACCTCACACCTATTCGGCTTGCAGTTGAGAGAGAGGGAGAAAAAACAAAAAACAACAAACAAACCAAAAAGCTATGGCATGATACATGAGTCAATTTCCACAAGCGCAGAAAACACCGAGCAAGCAACCAAGCCAGCCAAGCACGTTTGCAAGCAAGCAGGCAAACAAGCAAGCGAGCAAGAAAGCAATTTATATCGCATAAAGAAGCCGTGCAACAATACAGTCGTACGTACGTCTTCACGTGGTTTTTGCCTTGCCACAACTTTGACAGGTCACTTGTCAACCCCCGACCTACATCCAGCACACCTACAGGCTCCAGAACATTATCATGAACAGGCTCCTGCGCTCACCCCAGCCCTCAATCGCAGTCCCACACCATCACTGAAGACACGAGCGATGAACCCTTTCATCTCGCATCCAGCAAACCTACACCACATCCCACTCAACAGCCACCCAACCCCCCCCCAGCAGTCCCCAGCACATACCCTGGCTTCTTCAACAGTATTCCACAACAACGACTGACCGATGCAGTGATCAGTTCATGCACCAAGTGGCAGCTACAACATCCCACGACCACACTGACCACCGACATACACACCACAGGCAAGCCTCTACAACAATCGTGACTGTGAGGTAAGTTGGAAGCCTATACAACATCTCACCTCCACAACCCATATTCCTCCATAGCCACACACACACACGCACGAAAAAAAGAGTTTGCAAAACCGGTTGCGCAATGACGCTTATGAGATCTTACATGTTGCAGTACTTCTCGTGAACTCTTACATGATTTGACGTCGCTTGACCGTTGATCCGTCAAGTCTCTCTCTCTCTCTCTAGATGCGCCGACTCACGGCTTACTGTGTGTGTCAATCCCCGTATCCAAGGGCACTACATTTGTCAGACTTCTTTTTGCATTGTGCAGTATACGCGCAGGGGGGCAACTTCATGGATGCAGGCGGTTGTCCAACGAAGAGGGCTGCATTCCATGGCTGATATGATCCTGCGACGCTAGGATCACGTACCTGCCAATTTTCCTTTCAGCATTTGTGATTCTAAGTGTCGCTCAATGCTGTCTCATTCGGTGTTTTGCAGTGAAGTGCTAATGCTTTCAGCTAACGCAGTAGCTTTTGTGACTCTAAGTGTTGCTCAACGCTGGCTCATTCGGTGTGTTGCAGTAAAGGGCTACTTTTCAGCTAATGCAGTAACGTAAAGGGCTAATGTTCACCATGCGTCTCTGAAGCACAGCTCCGCGGAGCACTCATCTTAAGTAAGTTTGTGTGTGTGTGCTTGTGAGGGCGCATTGTCATTCATGCGCGCTTTTTGTTTGCAACATCCCCTCCGAGACAATCGTTGGAGTTTGCGTTGGTAAAGTTGGTAAAGCTTGGTTGTCATGTGAGGCGCGCAAAGCTGCTCTGGGTGCTGAACATCCTGAGACTCTAATTGCGTCAAACGTGGGCTTGGCCTGAGTTAATTGCCGTCAGCCATAACACTTTTTGAAGCCTTGGGGCGGGCCGAAGCTCAGCCAGGACTTGGCGGCTTTGATTGTTGCACAGGCCAATGGGGATTCAAACTGAACATTTCCGAAGGAGAACTTATCGTAGTTTGACAACACAAACTACGAAGTCGCGAATTGAACGGAAGGTTGTCATAGTGCTCTCAAAATGTATGTTGACTGTGAACCGAGTTGGCTAGCTTTGCACTCAGGGCCGATTTGCTGACGCAGAGCCTTTGTACAGACAGACCTTGCAGTGTTTGCATGCACGGCTAGGCTCCTGAGCTGAGTTGGTTCGCTTGAGTTTTGTGCATTAACGACATTCAATTCAAGAGGTGTTTTGCGTGATGTCGCTCTCCCAGGTCCCGAGGACCCTGACACACTGCGAACGGCTTGCAACCTGGCCTCTTGGATTGAAGAAAAGTCTTTTCACGCTGCGCTTCGATGCCGTGCGTGACGCCCTGGGGTACATAGTTTTGGGTGGATGCAGCTAACAGCGAGCACTCCTTCTTCTTTGCTTCCTTGCTGAGGCTGCTTTGCTGGCTGCCCTTGGGCAAACCTGTGAGGCAGAGTGCCCCGGCTCGGATTGTTTGGGATGCATTTTCCACACTGAAGGGTCGACGTTGGGCAGAACATGGCAGAACCATTGGCGTCGGAAACGCTTCTTGTCCTGATTCTGGCTGAGGAAGCTGTACCGTACAAGCGCGAAGGGTTTGGAAGCACAACTGGGACCTAAGAACTTGGACACGCTGCTCCATGGCGGATTTGAGGACGGTTCATCACCAGCATGTCCTGTCGCCAAGTTTCCTGCTGTCCAACGTTTCCGGCTGAGGTATTGCCAAAGCAAACTTGCTCAAGTTTTAAAGACAAGAGGTTATGCACAGGAAGCTGAGCAACTTCTGCGAAAAGTCGTGCGAGGCCCTGTACGACTAGAGCTAAGGCTCTCAAAGTTTTAAGTTGCAACTAGTTGCAACAAACAAGCATGATCAAACGAATAGTTTGTGGTTGCTTCTTTGACACAGGCCTGACGGTTTTGTTTGACAAATTCCCTTCAGGCATGAAAGAAAAACTCGGAGCACAGCACCCAGACACGCTCTGTAACTGTGCTGCGCTGGCCTCTGTAATGGAAGTCCTTGGTCGTGCGCAGGCTGGTTCGGGCAAAAGCTTTCATAAGAGTTTTTGTGGAGTTTGCTCATTTCGACAGGGTCATTTCATCACCGTGCATGTTGCATGTATATAAGAAGTGCGACACAGAATTGTTGCACTTCAGGAGGCTGAGCCGGTACAAAACAAAGCCCTGGAAGGTTTCAAGGCCGGGATCATGCGAGTCCGAGTAGGAGAAGGGTGGAAGGCCCAGGGTTTGTTGCATCCTGCATGTGAGGCACGCTTGGGAGAAAGCCATCCGGACACGGCGTGCTGGCTGCATCACCTCCTAAGTGAGAGGGCAAGCCTATCGATCGAACGTTGAATTACGGTTCTAGACGCACTTGTACCAAGGGTCGTACTTGGAACTCATGTGGACGAGTGCAATTTAGGGAGAGTGGAAAGCGATGGAGAGGGAGAGAGGGAGAGAGGGAGAGAGAGAGAGAGATTGCGCAATGGAATGCAACTCAGCGAAGCCCAGATCGAGAGTGCCATGGGTCTTGCATCCATCTACAGTGCTCGTGGGAAGCATGAAATGGCCGAGCCCTTGCTTCAGCAAGTGCTGGAGTGGCGAGATGCTCGGCAAGATCGAAGTTCAATTCATTTGTGAGTTCACTGCATACGGGGAGAGCTTTGGGCTTTACTTGCTGTATACGGTATACGGTACATACTATACTTATCTATTCTTTTGGCTAAATATCTATTCTCTCGGTAGTTCCTGGATCACAAAGTTTCTAAATGATGATTTGCTTGTGGTGCTCATGGACACACACACACACACACACACCACACCCGCACGCACACACACACACACACCCCAACAGGGTTCAAGAGATGTGGCTCCCAAGGAGAGGAAGCTGGGCCATTTGCACCCAGATACGCGACTCAGACAAAGATTGGCTTGGCTGGTGGAGAATGAACATGACTTGAAGATGAAATGGAAAGAGGGAAAGCAAGAAGCTACTGGTAGCAAGGACGCTATTAGGTGGAGGCATCGCAAGTAGGTTGGAGGCCATCGCTACTAGGGTGGAGGCCACGCTATTGGCAACATGGGAGCTAAGGCTTACAACGCTAGAGCGCTCCGCTGAAACTGCAATGGTGCTGGGCCGCCTGAAACAGGTGACACGGGTGCTTGCAAAACCCAAGCCTCATGAGTCTCACTGGCCTCACGGGTTGGGTTTTCTTTGGTCGTTTGATCAGTCAGATGCAGATTTCAAGGTATAGGACGAGTTCTTGGGATTAGTTTGTGCATGTCCGTTGTCTCCAGTGAAGCTAAGCCCATGGTGCGCGAGATGCAGGCGGAACAGTACCATTTGAAGATCATCCAGCTACGTCAATCGTCACTCGGGTACGATCACCTAGAAACGCTTCAAGCAGTGCCTTGGCCAAAAATCTCTCTCACGAAGAGACTATGGCGTCCAACCCAATAGCGATGGCCTCCACCTATGAGCGATGGCCTCCAACCTACTAGCGATACAAACATTATAATATGTTACATAATGTTGCAAACACAATGGGCCCAGCGTGACTCCATGACCTGCAATTTCCCACGTAATCTTAGTATTTGTTCGGAGCGCGTTGAACTGATGCTTGCGACAACGCTAGGCATATGGACAGACCTTTGCTGGAAACATGTTTGTTGGAATGGGACGGGTGGTAGATCTAAAGGGTTAAAGGGTTTGTTGGAGCTAGCAACGCTGAGCTTGAAACTGAGATGTCCAATCTCGCCTACATGTACAAAATGCTTGGGCAGTTGGACAAGGCGGGCAGAACATGGCCTGATCACCTTGAACTGTCATATTATGGTGTTAACAGATCTAGAAAGCACAAGCGGGGGACATGACGTATCGTGTTTTACAGGCCGAGCCTTTGTACAGACGCGTGCTTGCAAGCCACGAGAACCATCTTGGACCCTCGCACAATGCTGCCTGGCAGTTTTGGTGAACAACCTTCCGTCTTCATATGAGCTTTCCTTGATTAATTATTGGGCATTTGCACATATTGTGCATTGTAATCATATTGTTGTTGAGGTAACCGCTGCCAGTATGGCAAACCTGGCTGGGCTTTTGAAGGAGAAGGGGAGGCTGGTGATTTGCAAAGGTTAGTGCGAGACATCAAGGAGCGTTTCAGTGCGTGAAAGCTTGGCTCATTTGGCTTGCAGATTGCAGGCTTGAGGAGTCTGAAGTGCTGTATCGCCGAGCGCTGGAAAGTCGTGAAGCAAAACATGGCCGAAACTTTGGGCAAGAAATCAACAGCAACACCCACACAGAACAGATAACCACACAGTCACACAGTCCTCAACTCAAGCATTGTTTTGCCATATTCTTGTTGAACAATACATCCTACGCCGCCTTTGGGGGTTGTCCCGGCCCGTGACCCGGCATCCAAGGACTGCATCATGACACGTTGCAGACTGTCAATGACTTGGCTAGCTTGCTCCGTCTCAAGGGCGCCTATGATGAGGTGAGCACCAATGGTGCACTATTGAACTCATCCATAGACACAATGAACATAGGTATAGGCCATAGGTATAGCAAGAACCTCATTGTTGAAGAACGTTTCTTGTCCGACACTCCTGAACCTGAAGGCGCAGTTGCTTTATGAGCGAGCATTGGCTGGGCGAAAGGCCTTGTAGCTACGCCGATTACAATAGCCGTTGTTTTGGCTTTCAACTCTTACCACCTGGTCCACAATTTATTTGAACAAGCGCAGGCTTTGCACGGAGAGGACCATGTGGAGATCTACAGATGCTTGGAGATGGAACTTGCTGCAGGTGCTTGAAGACCACGGCTTGTTGTGGAGTACCAGCTGATGAACATCGTCAAACTGAAAGGTAGAACAAAGGAGAACAGGATCAATCCGCCGTACAGAGCGTATAGATGCTCTGCCAAGGAGTCAAGAACAACTACGCTTTGCTCCTCAAGGACCGGGGCGACAAAGCCCGATTTGACTACCAGAAGGCGCGAGTGATTTTCCTGCACAGACGCTCAAAGTTGCTCTTGAAGAGTCGCCCCGTGAGGCTGAGCAGCTTTATCGAGAGGCCAGGGCAGGTGCCACTTCAAAGCTTGGCCGGAACACCCAGTCTTATTTTCAGCACACGTGAACCGAGAGCAACATACCACCGAAAGACACGTGCATACCTCTTCCGAGCAAATATTTGGCTGCAGCTTTTGAGACCCTAATTGATGTCTCCCCCACACACCAGTGCAACTGAGGCCTAGATCACCCAGACACTCTCACGTTTGAACACAACCTTGCAGTGACTGAGCTTTGCAATAGGGGTGTTTTCGTGCAGGGTTTTGTGGAGTGCAGCCAAGCGGTGGTGGCAGATTGATCATTCACCACCGTTCCAGGACAGTCAGATCGGTTTTAGGGCTTTGACTCTGCATTGAGTGGGCCTTCTCCCCTGGTCCTCTCTTGCAAACGGTTGTGGCATGGTGTCGTTTCAGGGTTGAGGCTTGTTCCCGATGTTTGGGATGTGTGCGAGCCATAACTGGCAGAATCTGTTGTGGAATCCGAAATCCTGATTTGGCATGTGCATCTATGAAATCCAGACAGGCACAATTGGTGGACAATTCGCAACTTATATAAATAGATCCTTCTTTGCTAGCCAGCCCTTGCAGCCTTCCTAGGCCCTGCTTGGTCCATCTTCGGAGGAGGCTGAGGAACTCTACAGACATGTGGTCGCTGGACGTGACTTGTCGATATTTCGCCTTGCCAGGGCGAGGTCAGGTATTGAAGGTTGGATGTCGGTAAGCAATCAAGAAGGCAGAGCAGTTGATTTGAAGTTGGAAGTTCCAAACGTGCTCGGAAAACACGCATTGAGCAGCTCTTGAATCTCTCGTGCTTGATTGTACTTTGAGCTGTTGGAGTTCCGAGGAGAGAGGAGGCTTGGCAAAGAGCACCCAGACACGCTGCGCAGCATCAGCTGCTCGAATCAAGCAACACCTGCAACAGCCTTCGACTGGTGCTAGTTTCTGCTGACAGGGGCTGTAGAAGTACCGTATTTTTTGGGACAATTGAGGAGCTGAACTCCCACACGGGGCAGTGCTCAGCAGTGCTCCTGCTTCCCATCTCAGGCAACTTGGCCTGCCTTCTGGAGTTCAAGGGGGACACGCAGACCGCCCACACAATGCAGAACAGTGCTTACAAGGGACTGCAGAAGAGGCCCTGCATTTTTATCATGTTTATTTTACTTTCTCGGTGTGTTACTGTCAGAAGATGTTGCCAATGAAAGAAGTGCTTGATTGTATCCAAGCACTTTGGCACTGCAACCAGCAGACCCATCTACCAGGCTTGGTGAGGATCACGCTGAGACGCTGACCTGCATGAACAACTTGGTGACTTGGCCTGACACCGAAGGATTTGACGATACCCTGAGTGCCCGTCACACCTACCGGGCCAAGAGCCAGCACTGAAATTCAAAAGGCCGAAGCAAAGTCTGCACGTCAGGGCGTTTTCCTTCGCCCGAAGCCCCGGCAAGAACTCTATCTTCTTCTCTTCGCTTGCCGAAGCTCCGAATCTGAGGCGAGTCTCCTGCCCCTTGGTGCAAGGTGTTGTTGACGGAACCAATTTCTTTGGTACTGTTGACTGCTGTGAGTAGGCGTGTTCCAACAAGCATGTGCAAGATATTCTGGATCCACATCTCAAAACAACCAATTGCATCCAATTGCAAGTGCACGTGGGCTCAAATTTGAAAGACGAGGTTGTCAGGATTCTGGATGTATCGGGAAGGGAGTGTACAGCTCGAGCTTCTGAGGATAACCTTGCAGCAATTTGGTGAAGCCGAACGTTTATGTCGGCGGACCCTCAAGAAGCGGGAGGAAATCTTTGGCACTGATCACCGCGACACTTTAACATCAGTGTCTTGGTGTCACTGTCAGTCGACTGTGGGGATCATGAACCTTAGTTGCATCATGCACTTTTGCTTTGGTTCCAGGGAGAACCTACGAATGGCAACGGCTTGCTACACTATTTCCATAGTTCTGCATCTGTCCTCCCGCACCTGCCTGTTTGCATACATCAGCATTTTCATTTAGCAAAGAATCACGTAACTCCGTTCAAGCCCCCTGCTCCTTTAGGTCAACAACTTGGCATACCTGTTGAAGGCCAAGAAGATGCTTCCAAGTCGCATTTGCTATTCTTCCACATTCTTGCAAGTCATCCCACGAGAGCTATGAGTGTTCAGACAAGATGGACACATTTATTCTGGAAGTTTCCGGATTCCTTGTACAGAGCATTTGGCTCAGGTTTGCAGACGCTGAATACTACTATCGCCGGGCACTGGATGGCTTCACGAGAGTATTAGGTCCTGATCATCAAGCTTCTTGGCAAAAAACTGGCTGTCAAGAAGAAAGAAAGAAGGAAGGAAGGAAGGAAAGCAAGAAAGAAAGAAAGAAGGACAGAAAGGGAAGAAGGACGGCAGGAGAGAAATACACAAACAAAAAAGTAAGTAAAAGGGCTGGAAGGAAGGAAAGACAGACAGAAAGACAGGAAGACAGAAAGACCGAACCGAAAGACATCAAGAAAAGGAGACGGAAAGATAAGTAGAAAGGAAGACAACAGGTAGAATAAAAAGGAAAGGCAGAAAGGCAGAAAGAAAGGTTAAAGGGTATTGGATTGTCAGTCGTATTCACCATGTGGCAAGGACACGCTGCACACGGTCTATAGCTTGGCCACTTTGCTGGAGGCGCTGTGAGGGGTGGGTGTAAGATATGCTTATGCTGAAGCTAATGGTATGGTATGTAATGCAATGTAATAATGCAATGTATGTCATGTATGTATGGGATATGCTTATGCTGCGGATGTTCCGTTCTGCTTCTATGCCTGTTGCCGGGAAGTTTGACATGGCAAACATTTGGAATGGGCACTATATAGCTCCTGGTGTGGCACAATGAAAGTGCTCGTCGTGGCCTGAGGCTCCCCCGCTTACCTACACGCTGAGACTTCCAAAGAGAGGAGCAAAACAAGGGGGCACTTACCTTGCTCTTTTGTACCGGTAACCGATCCTACATGTCACAGTTTCTCACTTCTTACCTCCAGCAGAGGAAGGGCTGTGAGGCCTTTTCAGGCTCGATTGCAAGTTGGTGTGTGGGACCGGGACCGGTACCTCTTTTTCTCCTCATCCCTGTGGAAGATATTCACTGACCTTATCGTTTCTTCCGAGTGCAATCGCAGGCCATGGGCCGCTTCAGTGAGGCAGAGCCCATGACCCGGCAGGCGCTGGAAGGATTCAGGCGGGAGTGTGACATACCGATCCACTCGCCACTCCCGCAAAAAGCCAAAAGGTGTCGAAACACTTCTAGGAGGGATGTACAATGCTGTGGCATGGAGTGTCAGCAGGGAATAGCAATTCCCTCATATTCCCTCCATAGCAAGTAAAGAACCGGGAGCGGCAGAGTCAAGCACACAGCCTACAGACAAACAATGCACATGTTGAGTTGCACTAATCACTAATAAGACATGTGCACATATGATCATATATATGTGCATTCTGCACACACACACACACATATATATACATAGTTATTCCGGCATGGGCGGTTCAGCTGAGTCATGAATCCACAGGAGTAAATTGGGAGCGGATCATCCGGATACGCTGCGGAGTGTTCTGCATTTTGCAGCGATGTTGCAGGCAGGGAAGTGCATAAATTATGGATTGTGAAGCTCTTCAAATAGTCACAGCACCCAAGTCAAAACTTCAGAATGTAGTCTCAACGCTAGAACCTTTTGAGGTCGTGTGACGTAGTTTTGTGACACTTGTGATTGGACACCTCAATTGCCCAAGGCGAAGAAGCGGTTCCAGGAAGCGGAAGATCTTTGCCAAGAGGTGCATGACCGATTCCAACAGGCGAGATGGAGAGTTCAAGTTGAGAAGACGGCACAGTATTTGATCATCTTGCACGAGTATTCAGTAATCAGCTTTTGCAGCTTCTTGAACGACCCTGCAGTAGAGCCTGACTCGCTGTTTTAGTTGAATATATGCTCGAGACCGGCAGGAATTTGGCTTGGACCACCCAGACACCATGACAGCGGAGGAATACTTGGCTCCTTGGTTCCATTTGCCCACAGAGAATGACAAAAGCCTTGATCTTTTGAAAAGGAATGTTGGGTGGCTAGATTCGGAGATCCGAGGTGTGCAGTGTGTAGTGTGTATTTTTGTTCTGTCTTGCACGCTCGAATGGGCACTTGATATTCCCCCAAACAGTTTACTGTTAGGGGTTCTCAATTCTTTCTCAAGATGTGTCCGCCCTTTGTGTCACTGCTGGGGTCCGCCATTTTTCCCTTGGCAATGTAGCATTTCTATTCATTGTCTCCCAGGTCTGTCACTGCTGGTGTCTGCCCTGTTCCGCTGGC